TGTTTATTATTAGCAATGTTCTTCCGACGTCTGATTTCTTTTTAAAAAATGCGTTTCTAAGGTGCATAAACTTTTGGGATTGACTGTATAGCCAATACATCCTTAATTCGTTCACCGAGGATTGAACTACAATATCGTGCGACAGCTGTACTTTATAGGTATGTGTAATGTCACTTCGCGAATATCACTGCGACGAAGTTTGCCGTGTTGGCACGTTGAAAAATTCATGAATTCGCTAAACGAGATCCACTTGTTTCCCAATTAAACAACCAAAACGCTGCTGAATTCCAGTTCGTTTTTTATCTAAAACTGAAATTCGTGCCAGTGCAACTAGTCGTGGTTCATTTGACAATTTCATGTTAAAAAGAATCCCTTTAAAATATATATAAAAGGATAGTCTACCGGCGAAATTTGTCGCGAGTGTCTGCTATGCATTTCGTAGCTTTGTTTCTGACTATTTTTCAAGTGAACGCGGTTCGATGCATGCGTATCAATGAGGAAACGCGCGAAACCTTTTTCTTCGTGTAATCGAGAGCGACGAAGAACGGCGTCTCACCGACGTCGACGTGATAAGTCGCATAAATAACCTCCACCTCGGCGACGTCGACCATCTTTCTCAGCGCAGCGTAATTGCACTGGCAACAATTGTCCTCCACGACGGTCGCTTCGTCTTGGTGGCCAGCGCAAGGGAAACAGCCGCATCGTAATCTGCCACAAAATCCCGACCGACTTATTTTCACCGATACTACCGGTTCGGACAAGAAATTAATTCCAGCGTACAAATGATTTCGGGTGTACTTCGCGTCACCCGATTGCTCGTCGTTAATTAATCGGATTAAAAGCAACGATGAAAGATGATTGATCTTCTCATTGGTGAGAATTGCTTACTTCTAATTAGCGACATGCTTAGTATTTTACTTTGTTAGAATATTGTACAATTAAATTTTGAATAAAGTCAGTCAACGAAATTACGGATTCTATGTATTCGTACATTAGGATTGAAAATTGATCGACGAAGCTATTTTGTCATGCAACCGTGCGAAACACAGCCGAAAATCAATCGATGCCAATGCCAACACACACAACCGCAACAACGTGTCTCGATGGCATTACCTTGGACACAACTGACAAAGGCCGGTGGAATGACTAATGAGGAACATGGGCCAGCCATAAGCAGCGAGGGCAAAGTGCATGTAATGAATGGCTGACTGAAAGTGGCCCAGATCACCGTCCTCGGTCAAGGACAAGAATTTAGTGCGGGGTGTAACTGGCACGCCGGATAGAAACTCGTACGTATCGTTCTTCCGTTGCTTCACTATCAGTTCCCGTTCGATTTTCTGGAACTTCCTCAATAGCACCAAACCGGCGACTACATCCGACGGTACCACGTCAAGGTCGCGAAAGAAATCGCTCAATAGTCTAGCGATGTCCGCGAACGAATTCTGAGAAAATTAATCGGTTGTTTCATTGTCGTTTACAAAAGTTGTTCTTAAATTCAATTTTCTTTGAAATATTTTCAGCTACATCTGCCACACATTAATTATTTCAATATACTTTTATAGAACAGTGCCTTCTCTAATTTTAAGGCACTAAAGATTGACAACAACTATTGTTATATAGCTTCAGAAATTAAATTCTCGAAATTAGATACAGAGAAACTATAAAATCCTTCGCAATAAGATCGTGTCCTAATTAATTTCTTTAGAAGGTTCGCCTCATTTCCGTCGACACTTACTCGGTTTCTATCGGAATTGCCCATGCAGCAAAACAGAAGCCTGCATCTGTTGTCCCAGCTGTCCTGGTACGCTCGTATAACTTTTCTAAAAACCATCAAATGTCCATCGTTCTCAACAGATTATAAACTAACGATAGTGTAATTTATAATCATCTCTTTAGATATGTCGTTTTTTATACAAATTATTAACTTTCATGTTTTTATAACGAAACACGCGAATTATATATATTTCTATTTGCCAGTAAATTTTTTAAAATAAATAAGTAGATGATGAATAGGAATATTAATATGCATACATAGAAGAACATTAAAGAGGAAATAGAATGATCTCAATTTGACGAAACTTTGCCGTGAACAAACGGAAGTAACAGAGAACGGGGATGTCAGTAGAGTATACAGTAATAAGTCAGACGTTGAAAGTGAAACAAGAATGGCGAGACTGTTACCTCTGTCGCCAGTTTCTGTTCCTGCTACCGCTACGGTTGTAATGCAATTTGCCACATCTCGATTCCGCCTCCCTCATGCTGCGTTGATATTTCTTCATTTTCACCCACGATCTGCCCGCGGCGTCGTACGTACACCATACCGTCACCATTACCGACGCCAATACGCACCAATTTGATATCACTAAACCTGCGGCGCAAGCGAATGCTAAAACCGTTTTGATTGCGGATCGGAGAAGAAACTCTATTCTCGTTCCCATTGCGTTTTACAATTCAAACAACGATAAACGATACTGTACACAATCGTCGCAATGTCTCGCGGATTGCTTACGCGCCGCTGAATTTCAATCCCGTTAAATTGAACTAACGCTACATGCGATCTCTCCTTCAGCGAACATAACATTGCTTTCCTTGCTTGCTCATCTGCGTGAAATTTAGTTCAGCATTTTTTTAAGGTAATGTAAATTTCTCTGATCGAATTAATTTGTAAAAACATAGCTAATTGTTTTCGTTTAACGAGTTTAGTTATGGATGTTCGTCGTTAAGCTTACCTAACATTACATCTTTGAGTCGATCGACGGGACAGGTTTGATAGTAATGTGTTAACCAGATTACACCCGCGCACAACCAGCCAGTCTCTACCAATAAGAGAACTGAAACAAATAACATGAATCATAAAATTCATCATCCATTCATCCGCTTCTCATGTTTCATATTTTCCTTGAAATTCAACTAAAGCGAGGGTGAGGGACAATACCATGATTTCTCTTATCTTATCTATGAGTAAGAAATTATCGAGGGAAAAAGAGGGAAAGATGGATCGCGCGAAGGGAAGCGTGTCTCGTAAATGTCTGCTTTTTTTCGGCTACGGATGGTTGCCATTTCTTCGGTGAAAAGAAAGTATACGTCAGCGTGAATACCGTAACTTCACGCCGGATAAGGATTGAAGGTATTGACAGTGCCTTCTTCGAACATCGAGCCGTGAGATAGCTACCCCACAAAAGCACAGCCCGTTGCCTCCCGACGTCGCTGCTTTTGATGGTTTCCGTGTCGGAACAAACACGTCTGACCCAATTATTTATCAGCACGTTTACATAACTCGGGAGTTTTTAATTATTCCAAAGAAACTGTCTTAACGCGTGCCGGGCTTAAAAATATACATCAACGATTGTTAAAAAACTTTATTTCCAGTGAAATCCACTGCACAGAATTTGTCTTGAGAACATTACTAGCAAAGTCCTGGAAAAGTACGATTAGTTTTTTTTAATACTTCAATAAATATCGGCAAAGGTATAAAAGAGTAACATCAGTTTTCTATGAGTTCTGAAATACAATTTGTTCCACGACTAGTGGAAGTATCCGTGCACGAACGGCAAATTCTTGACATAAAATACTTGCATATATATATATGATTCAATATAATTTTATTCTGAGCTCTTTCCGACTGATTCATTTCTTGTTTTTATTCCAGCTGCTATTAGTCATATCGACCAGATACGTACACGATGCGTCGCGCTGGCTAAAATAAAAATACGGCACAGAGATAAATATGTATGTATGTATATTTGTTACAGTTTACTTGACTTATCAGTAAAAGAGACTAAATGGACATGATAAAAATACTATCACAACTTAGGTGATTCATTGAGCTCAAAGTTTTTGTTTCATTTGTTGAACTTCAATGTCCGAATTGGAGGTGGCAAATATTCACATCGACAAACATTTGTTTCAGTTCATTAAACTAAATTCAATTCTTCTACCTATCTTTCTGTCGTCTGTATCTCTTTGACAAAATTTCATTCTATTTCATACATCGAAATTAATTTATTCTCCAAATCTCTTCCGCTGCAATATTTTTCGGACACGTCGCAAACGGGAGCAGAGCCTTGATTTCAATTTTCGCAGCTGCGATCGAAACATGTCTTCATCTCATTTCCCGCAATCTCGGCTGGACAGAAGCGCCGAAAATGCGCGTCTGTTTCGAAATCAGACCAGCCAAGGAACAAACAAAGAAGCTAATTGTTAGAGTATGTAGTACAAGCTGCACGGACACAACGGTGCCGGTGGTCTGGCACTCTGTACGCATCCCACCAATCAGCTATACGTGATCAGAATTCACATCGAGTTCCCAAAGGTGCACCGAATCGCTCGAAGAACGGGAGACTGGATTTGGATCGCTTCCAAAATCGTTGATACGTGTCAGTGTGTATGTCTTGCTAGGGAAACAAATCAGTCTGGATAGTTCTTTTTGCACGTACGTAATCGACATTCGTGCTGATATATGTATATTATGTACATATCAATATTTACGTGTCCATTTGATGAAACGTGTCTTCAAGAAGGACGCAGTGCTGACTGCGCTTCTTTTTGTAGCTCTGAATTCTGTTAGCGTTTAGTAGGTGCTTAAATGTATGTGTGTACGCATACATATGTATGAAATCGTTTTAGTTGACTTGGCAGATTTCGTATTACATGCGGTACACGCTAAGCATAACGAGATTGATAGAGATTGCGCTAAGGGTTGAGTTTACCCTATAAACGTGACTGCTGCAATATTTTCAGGATTAAGCATTTGTGTACTTCTTTGCCATAGTACTTCCACGTCAGACGTTATTTTATTTTGGTAGAAAAATGAACTCGAGGATTTGAAAGACTTGAAGCTCTTCCTCGTTTTTACATATGATTCTACATCGATAAAGAATTCACACGTTTATTCCTTCCAGTGAAAATCAGAATTATCGAATGGTTTCTCACGAAGCTCACCTTGGAAAGTTTTCGCGGAACTCGTGTGAAATCTAAAAACATTCGCAAGGTAGAAATCAGAAATTTGCAAGTTTTACTTCAGATTCCTAGATTGGCTTTTGGAAGCAAACTGATCGAATCTTGGAACTTTCAAACACTTAGATATTTAAACGAACTTTGAAAACTTTTGATGATATTAGCTCGATTTGTTAAGAAATTTTACAACATTAAAATGGATTTAATAAAAGTGAACGAGACATATGTATTGCAATTTTTGTTTCGGAATAAAATCTACATTAATACAATGGACAATTGGAATATCACTTGAGTAAGCGACGGTGTTTCAAAAAAGAGGAGAGTGCAGAGCAAAAACGACGCGACTTTCTATTCCTTAATGGCTGGGAAGTCTGAAAATTTTACGCTCATCCTCGTACAGTAAAAAAGAACAGACAAAAAGGCGAGAAGACATTCTTCTTACAGATAGTCTCTTAAGAGAAAGATGGTACGATAAGTACAAGAAGTGAATCAATTCTTTTTAATACTTACCATCTTTGTACATTGCGTAGTACATGTAATTTTATTGAGGGACATTTAGGAAGATTAATTCTGAATGTTTAATTGATGTAGTGACGGCTTAATGAATCTAATTGGAAGGAAATTGTACAATTGACGAACTGTAATTTGCTGCCCTTGCCAATGATCGTTTATTAGAAACGAGGATTCTCAACTAAGACCTGATTCTTATTAATATTCTCCCCTTGGCCTGCGATGATTGGAAGGGTCGACAGGAGCGAAGTGGCTTTCCGTCGCCACCGGTGAAGCTTTCATTAACGAATCTAGTGGCGTGCAGCTTCAGATTGGTTAGTTATTAGAGTTCGTTCGTATGATTATTGACTTAAAGTTAAAGATTTCATTAAAAGTAGTAATCCAATCAACGAGTCACTAATTATCGTGACTTGAGGACCAGTTTGTTAGCAGGACAAACATTTTTCTAACTGTGGTCGCATTAAAAGTTAGACAATTTAATTATTTTTCCGGGTATAAATTCAGGAATTTTACGTTAAATTCTGTGGTTACCACTTTTGTGTCTGAATTTTTTATATCGACCATTGGGCGGTATTCGGTTTTGAATTTCACGCTTCAGTGGTCTTCAATTTTGATTTCTGTGGTCTGTGGATCTCCGAATACCAGCTGGTAGTAATATTCAACACATACTATAACGACACATATTTCAACGAATACTATGATTCGGTGTTGACTCATTTTCCATTACATGATTTTATTATATTTAATTTAAATTAAACTCCGGTTATTTTGAACTAAGTAGATTGACCATACGCGGCAATATCGTGTAGGTACCTATTTTCATCTTCGATTCCGCTTTTGAACCGGTTCACGCTAAGGGTTTCGATACCATAAATAATCGTACAACCACGGTAAGCGTAGTCGGTAGCTATAAAATTGACAAGGCATGATTTTCTGTCCGTAAAGAATGCTAATAAAAACCGTGCACATTTTTAATGCCAATATCCCGTTCGAACCAACCAAGCAAAATTCTGTGCAACCTTCCCTTCTTCCATCCATTAACATCTTAATTAGTGTACGAACACTAATCATTTACCTTCCAAATTTTTACTTGTCATTAATTTATTCGACTATTACTGATAAATTTCGTTATTGCTCCGGAGAAAATTGTATGAGAATTAAAATTGACTTACACAGTCGAACATAGAGGATGTATTGCATGGGTGCCCTGGCCGCAGTGTCCAAAATGCTGCCCCTCGTAGCCAGGAAGCAGATGGAGAATTCTACCAGCATGGAGGACACGAAAATGGCCAAATATCCCACGACGTATTCCCATAGAAGCAGGATGCACGTAACGCTGTGATCCCATTCGAGTATCCCCAGTAGAACACCCAATACCGTCACCCTGCAACATAGACGATAAAACGTTCCGTGAAGAGAACCAATTCTCATCTTATGCTCACTTTTGTAAAAATATCACGAATACATCGTCAGTTATCGAGGCGTGAACAGAATGTATTTCAACCAGGAAATTTCCTCGTATCCTTCACTCAATCGTCTATTGTTCCCTTCTATTTTTACCCGTTCTCTACGTTTCTTCCTTAATTCATTTCATAAAGTTTCCGCATTCCGTCCCAGCTGCATGATCAGAAGTTTTTCTATTCTAACTAGCAATATAAACGGCTGTACATCAAACGGTATAAGCCTATTCCGCAAATCCCTCCGAGACGTTTTAGACTGTTCCCGAAAATCCGTTTGACGTTTACTAACCCTCTCTAAACTTATTTCACCTGTACCGTATTTCATTGCCGGCTCAGGGCGCAATATTTATAGCGCACTTGCACGAAGACTCCGGGTACTACGATAAAATTTGTAATAAGAAAGGGGGTAAATCGAAGGCCGTATCCTTTCTTTCAAAATTACACGCATCGCTTAAGACGCCTGTTATTATTATTTTCATAACAATTTCCGCGCTCCCCAACTTCCACGTATTAAATTCGTCCCGAGCAAATTAATAAACTATAAATAAAATAGTGAATAGGAGTAAAATAAAAATCGCAAAATGCTGCGTATGGCTGTCCTAGAGGCTTTAATAATCTACCAGTTCTCTCGCTGCCAGGGGAACTTGACTAATCCCGGCTTAAATCGATGTCGACTAGAATATTTGGAGTTTTTTCCCTGCCGCGGCAAGAGACTGGAGGCCGCGCTCCGCGCTTCGAGTATAATTGTGTCTTGTGTCTACCACTTGGTGGAACTTCGCGGAGCTTTTCTCGCGTAAACTCGCCCTCACGGAGGTAGGGTAAGTTTCCTCGCAGACACCGCTGGTCGAGTGTGGTAACTCCGTGGCAAAACGAGCACATGGAAGCCTCGTTAATGTTGGCCCCGATCGTAAACTTCGCGCAATATCATTAAATCACCGCGGCAGTTTTCGTTCGACTGCAGCAGTAATAATTATCGGGAATTATTTCTTCTCATTTCGTCTGAGTAACGATGTAATTGCATAACGTCCTAGATTGATTCGTCGATACTATTTAATGCTGGAAACGTCTGATGCTACGTCCCATAAAATATGCTATACTATATGTAC